GCAATGCAAGAGCGTTTGGTCATTGACTGGATTGGGAAAAGGCATTAGAGCATCAGACTGAATGACAGACAGCGTGGAAAAGAAAGGGCCGTTCCCCCTGGTCTCAGGGAGAAAAGAATTCAGCACTGAGCTTCTTGCATTGGGCTGACAGTGAAGCGTCAAAGTGGAAAAATCCCGTACTCATTAGGAAAAAAAGGAGCTCAAAGTCATATGACACGATAGAACTAGAGATAAGTGAGAGTCATCAGCTGCAGGGAGATAATGAACATTCCTGAGAAAATAGATGTGGAGGCTTTTATAATGCATTAGCAAAAGAGTCTTTTTTGTTTGTTTGTTTTATAGCTAAAGAAACGAAAGCCAAGAGACATTAATTTAATGATCTCACCTCTTTTTTAGAAGTAGATGGAATGGAAGCTAGTCATACATGTTAACAACTTAATAAATATCTATCACAGGAATAAGAGAAACAATATCTAACAGAAATAAATATCTATCACGGCATTTGAAGACAGCATTCAGGGCCCTTGACCTTCTGGAATGTTTTTGGCCACATTCACATCTATTCTTTCTTAGTCCGGAGTTCATTACTATGGCGGTTTTGTACTGCGTCCATTGAGCTGAGCTGGAACTATGTTTCCCAGAGTTCCCTCCCCTGGGTAGTTCTGGTGAGGGTTGGCCAGAAGAGAAATTTGCACAAGGCTTGGAAGGCCAAAGTGACACATCAGAGCCTCTGCTCGGTCCTAGACGTCACTAGGGCTCTGACCGGCTGCCTTTCCCTGCTGGTCGTGAGGACTAGCCAATGGCACCCAGTCTCCTCTGGCCTCTCCTGCTGCTGTCAGGGCTCTACGGAGAAGGACACCCCCTTTTCTGTGGGTGGCCAGCGTCATCAGAGTCGATGTGGTGGGAGACAGACGTGGGCTCCAGTTTCTTCTTGCGGATTCCAGTTTGTCGTGGCTTTGAGGCCATCCTTTCTTCCCCGGGGCCCTGTGTGAGGGGCAACCCTTGTGACAAGTTCCTTGTCCCCTATCACTTACAGTGGTCCTGCTTCCCCGACAGAGCTGCTCACAATCCCTCCTTACCCAGGCCTTCCTATGCCCCGCCTCCCTCTAATTGACTGTACTTTGCATCTTCCACTGATTCCCAAGGGCCCATTAGCCATCAGAAAAGGGTGATGAAATTTTAAAACACATCTTCGTATTTTTAAAGAGACAGCATGATGGACAGAGAACCAAGAAGGCAGTACTAGCTACAAGGAGGTTTGGGGGACACCATCTAGGGGCTTCTGGTACCTGACCGTGGAGGCCTCCACAGCACCCAGAACTGCCCAGTCACTAAGCGAGAGAGAAAGAAACTCCTATCTTATTGAATTCACTGTTATTTCAGTCTTTGTTAGGGCCGGGCTTGAAATCTAACCAAACAACCAGTAAACATTATCTTCATCAACTTCAGTCATTCAAGTAAGTACACGTCAGAAACTTCTGTGTTCTTATCATTACCCTCCCTCTCTCTTATCCTGCAGCTCAGCCTTATAAATGTACATGCTCACTTACCCAGCAGAGCTTCCGAAAAAGAGGGACTGTCTCTATCTTGCATAAAATGCAGAGTGGAGCACTGAAACAGCCTCATGTGATGGGCAATGACACACGACTTCCATTCATTCTTGCCTCTACAGCGTCCTCGTGGAGGACGGAACTAAAAGTAATTAACATTTATTTTTGAGACCAACAGAGGCCTGCTTATTCTTGCCTGGGACGAGGATTAACACTGAATTTCAGAAGACGAGTCTTTTCAATTATTTGAGCAAGTCACTTCGTTGGCCTCTGTGAGACCCAGTACCGTCATTTGTAAAATTTGGTGACCATTCTTTCTTCACAGGCTTGTCCTGAAGGTAAAACGAAATACTTCAAAGTATGTAAAACCTTCCCAGCACAGTATTTGACCTAATAGGTGTCAATACGTATGAGTTGGATCTACAGCCTAAATTATATTTTGAAAGAATGAGTAGAGAACACTAGTTCAAGAATCCTAAAGGGTAAATAACAAACAGCTCCCAATAATTTCTTCCAAAATCAAACGGAGTTTGCTGAAAAGGGGAATTCTTGCTCTAATACAATAGTGTATCAAATGGGAAGCTAGTGACGGAGAATTTGCTGCGTGTTTTCAAAGTTACCCAAAAACTAAAGACAGAAAGGGAGTAGGAGCTCATACCACGAGTATGTGGGTTCTGGAGGTTCATGATCAATGTCTGATATAATATGTACCATATCATCACCTCTGTTCACCTGAAAGTTTCTCTGACTTAAAGCAAGAAAAGCATCCTTTTCTTTTTGCTCACCTTTCCTTAGATTCTTAGTTGATTCTTGATATTGTAAAAGACTGGATCAAGAAAATTGATGTAAAGAAGATGTTTAGTTACATGATGAACGTATAGGAAAAAAAGACGCTGGCAAAGGAAATCAACGAGACAATACCACCTGAAGTTTATCACATGAGCAAAACTTATTGTACTCCTTCATATGGAAAAGTTCACAAAGGAGCTTGAGTTGTTCCTTGGTACGAGACAACACTTATACGTTGCCCTTCTGGTGGACTTCAAGGAGCTACTGAGAATAAAAGCGTAAGATGCTCTCTCGAATTTCATTAGCTTTGTGCATCAGAGTAACCACGTAAGTATTGTCTGCACCGCATGCATGTTTGTGTTCCCCATAAAATTCATATGTTGAAATCCTAATTCCCAATGGGATAGCATTTGCAGGTAGGGACTTTAGGAGGTAACTGGGTCATCAGGGTGGAGCCATGAGAAAGCTAGCTAGCTCTCTCTTGTCTGTCTCTGTTTCTGTCTCTCTCTCTGTCCCTCTGCCATGTGAGGACACACTATGAAGGTAATGGCCAATCACAAACCAGGAGGAAGCTCTCACCAACAACCAAGTCTGCCAGCACCTTGATCTTGGACTCGCCAGCCGCCAGACGATGAGAAATAAATGTTTGTTGTCTAAGCCATCCAGTCTTTGGTCTTTTGTTATAGCAACCCAAACTAACTAAGATAAGTGTCCCACAGATACACACCCAAGATGCCTGATTCCTGAAATAATAGTCGAAACCTGTTTTCAGGAAACTGTTCATTAATAATATTTGCCATTGCTAAGTCTTAACAAGGAGGGCCAGCGTTCAGAAACAAGTCAGAGAGGTCAGAGGCTGATGGTATTGTAGAATTGACTCGTATCTGCCCATGCACAGTCCCTTAGAAGGAAATCCATCAACTCACAGTGCCAGATGAAGGGCCAGCTCTGGTCGTCCATGGTTTGGACCATGTGGCCCAGAGGTGTCCCGAACAACCACTTATGACTGCGTCGCAAAGGACAGAGCCCATCAGATTCCTTCTCTTTCTCTGGAATTTGAAAGAATCAATATCTAGAGACTGATCTCAGTTAGATGTGGGAGTAGGCTGCAAAGTGAGGAAAGAGAGCAGCTGTAGAGGCCATATAAGTCATGTGCAAATCCAGGTACTAATTAACTGAGATTAAGGAGGCCAAATCGGCTGGTTGCTGACCAGAAAGAAGCAGACACAGGGAATATAGTTCAGGTAATTCAAGTATCATCTCCTTGAAGACAGGGACAGTGTCTGTCTTGTTTATTACGATTTCTTCAACATCTAGCGTAGTTGTTTGTTATTAAAAAATTAGTCACTTGATACATATCACCTGAATGAATAGTTAATGACCTAACAGTAGATCACCAGAGCAAGCCCTAAAGTGACTTTCTTAAACACATGTCAATAAGGTCCTGGAACCAGAAACCTAAATTTGTCCGTGAGATTCCCTCTCCTTCAACATAACCAATGTCTTCTCATGTTCTTAAGCTCCAATATTTCCTTTTATCTGAGCAACTCTGCTTGGTCCCTGATCCTTGTAAACAACAACAGCAAAGCTTTGTGGGAGAGAGGAAGGAAGAAAGGAAGAGGGAAAGAGGGAAAGAATGGGGGAGAGGGAGAGCTGTAGGAGTTGACTTATACTTCCCTAAAGAGAGGTTTGGATTTTGTGTGTGAGGCTAAAAGACGAGGAACTGCCACCAACAACCTGTTCTGGAAAACCGTAGAGAGTTTGCTCAAGAGAAGTGTTTGAACTTTGTCATTGGAGTAGACCAGCTATATAAAATAAAACAACCGTGTAGCTATCTCCCTGTAAATTGTTTATATTGTATTGAATGGGAGTAACTTGACTCCCATTCTTCTGCTTAATGAGTAAAGTGCTCAGGGAGGTTACTCTGGTGATAAAACATACAGTACTTACAGGAATGATCCACCCTCCTTCCCAACTCATCGTTCCCTGTTCTTCATTATTACTGAATGCATCCACCAGTGTGTCTTTGAGAAAATCTAAAAGCTTGATTTTTTCCTTCCATTCACGAAGACACTCAGGAATGATATGGGAGAAAATGTTATTCCAGTAAACTGCTTTCATAAAACACAGATTTCTTGCACAATACTCATCTTTTGAGGTCTGGTTTATCCCCAATCAATTGCTATTAAATTATCCTCCTGCGACAGATAATGGAAAACTAATCCTTCTGTTGAATACCAGCCCTGCACATCTCACAAGAGAGGTATGAGCCAAGCATACTTTCCACATGAGTAGAAATGTCAGGTGGCCAGTATTATCCCCATCTTACGTCTAGTAGGTTTATGTGCAAGGTACCATAGCCATAAGATGTTCTGATGGCCAAAGGCAACGAGTTAGCATTCATAAGGGCAAAGAGGGAAGGAATAAAAAAATAGGATACTTACTTGGTCCTAGACCAATGGAAAAAGCAGCAACATAAACAAGCAAGCTGGCTAAGGAAAGCCATTTCAAGAAAGCTGGAACGTCCGCGGGATCTGTGACTATCTGGTATTGAGCTTGGCTCAGTCCAGTATTTGGTAAGTGTGTCACTCCTTTCTTATCCATGTCATTTCTCATGGGCATTAGGGAGCTTTGGCTGCGGGCAGTGAGCTCCTTATAGAGCTCTCTAAGAGTGTCATCACTGGCTGACAGGTTTCCGGGCCCATAGAACACAGACTCATCCAATGATTGGTTGACAGGGCTATGGCTTCTGCAGATATTGGTGAAGTTCATGGGGATGTTGAGATTCACGATGCCCATGGTCATCAATGAAGCTGCCATCACAGAGGAGCCGATACAAAGGAAGGTTTTGCTCCCCACGTGGTCTACAAGAAGAGTGGCGGGGATGGTGCTGATGACCTTGACGACCCCAACCCCAGTGGAGGCGAGGCTCGCTGCCTCATTGCTTTGGAAGCCAACGGACTTCAAAACAGTTGACGCATAGAATAATATGTTTGGCTGACCAGTGACTTGCACAAAAAATACCAATGTTAGGCCTATCATTATCCGGGTCCTCATGTTGTCCTTTGATCGAAACAGATCCCAGAAACTATACTGATATTCATCTTTCAGGGAAGATTTGATCCCAGTGAGTTCCTCAGTTGTATCTGAGACGGATCTCAACCTTCTGAGAACCTTGCTAGCAGCTTCCTCGTGTCCTTTCATCACCAGAAACCGGGGACTTGGAGGCAGAAAATACATTGCAATTGCCTGCAAAATTCCCAAGGGAATGACAAGGCCAAACATGTACTTCCAGCCATGGGAAACATTGGCAAACGCATAATTTGAGATGTAGGCAAAAAGTATGCCGATGACAATCATCAGCTCATTCAGTGACACAAGCAGGCCTCTTCTGTGTTGGGGAGCAATCTCTGCGATGTAAACACATGTGGCAATTGAAGAGAGTGAAATGGAAACCCCTAGAGCAACGCGTCCCGCTATGAGGACCGTGTAAGATGAACTGAGTATCAACACCAGGCTTCCGAGTCCAAGTAGGCAGGATGACAAGATGATGGCAGCCCTTCGTCCATATCTGTCAATCAGGACCCCTCCAGTGAGAGAGGCGAGCAAGGCCCCCATGAGGAGGGAGCTCACAACCATCTCCTGCTCGTGGCAGGTTAGGGCTAATAAGGTTCTTATCTGCAGAAGGGCTCCAGAGATGAGCCCAAGTTCATAACCCACCAGGAGGCCACTGACAGCAGCAGTGACGGACGACAGGAGAGTAAACATGCCGCAACCTACAGGCAGAGAGGAGAGACAGAGAGGTCAGTTCTGCACCATTAGTTTAAACATTTTATGTCTGAATGGAGACTCAAGCTTGTGTGCGTAAGCTTTTCGGAGCACTGAGTATACACACACGCACATTAATATAGTAAAGTAATATATTAACAAAAATGATTAGATATAAATGGAAATATCCTTTTTCTCTCATTTTTGGAGGAGAGGGGTGAGGATATTTAGGAAGTCATTTCCTTCTATTTGTGGTGCCACTGTCGTTTTTCAGTGGCCAGCAGACAGCTACGCAAGATAAGCAGATGACAGATGATAAAGACTGAACAAACAAGAGCAACCCCGTTTGGTTCCTGCTTTGGTGTTGGATCAGAAATTCAGCCAGCCCAGTTCCTCGGGCCCCGTGGCAGGCCTTTCTCTAAAGGCAAACCTCCAAGGCAGAGTTGAAAGGGTAGAAACCTCCATTCCCCTTGTGTAACCTGGGGAAAAATGAACCACAACCTCCAGGAAACCTGCCCTCATTTCTCCTTGGTCACATCTGGCCACAGTTGGCTCTTGCTGAAATATGAGGGTAGTGTGTGTGTGTGTGTGTGTGTGTGTGTGCGCACGCGCGCACACACACACGCACACGCGCGCGTATGCCTTAACAAAGTTAAGGTTGTATCAGAAAGAAGGAAGAAGGAAATGGATGCAGGGGAGGGAACCTACAACATCCATTACTTGCTGTGAGTACGGAGGAAGGGGAATAGGACTTGGGGGAAGAAGGACAAAAGGGACTTCGTCTTGTTTTGTTATTTTAATGTTAACAACTGAGGAAAAATAGCAAAATGTTAACAGGCATTAATTTTCAGAAGTAGGTAGGAGGGTGTTTATTATATGTGTATATCTGTAGTTTGTCAAAACAGGAATAAAACGAAACAAAAAGTAACCGAGGGCAGCGCAGGAAAGAGCACTGCAGGCACAGGAAACAGTAGTTTGCAACTGAAAGGCATGACACAGGAAAGCAAATTCTGGAACTGCTGGGCAGCTAGTACATCATATGTGGGGTGCAACCCCAGCTTGGAGAAGTAAATAGGATCCAGTAAATCGGGGTAGACACAGAGGGCACACTTCAAACAGAGCCCTGCAAGTCACAGTGACACCTTTTATTTATTTTTTAAATACTTATTTGGGGGGAGAACATAAGCAGGGGAGGGGCAGATAGAGGGGGACAGAGGATCTGAAATGGACTCTGTGCTGACAGGCTGACAGCAGCGAGCCTGATGTGGGGCTCGAACTCACAAACTGCAAGATCATGACCTGAATCGAAGTTGGACGCTCAACCGTCTGAGCCACCCAGGTGTCCCACAGTGACACCTTCTATTGTTTTCCAAGTATAATGGGGCCAATGCACACTGAATAGCATGGGGGGACTGACACCAAGTTCCTTGCTGCTGGGTGCAGACTAGTTCTTCCAGAAGCAAGACTGGTAACAGAGAAAAGTATGTTGCCTTAGAGTTGACAAGAGATGATGGTAGCTTGGATGTTCAGAGTAGACCTGGAGACACGTAGACAGATTCAAGAGTTAATTTGGAGGTAGGGTGCCTGGGTGGTTCAGTTGGTTGAGCATCCAATTCGTAATTTTGGCTCAGGTCATGATCCCAGGGTCATGGGATCGAGACCTGCATCAGGCTCTGCACTGAGTGTGGAGCCTGCTTAAGATTCTCTCTCTCTCTCTTTCTTCCTCTAGTCCCCTTCCCCAGCTCACAAGTGCTCTCTCTCTCTCTAAAATTAAAATAAAAAAAAAAAGAGTGAATTTGGAAGTAATAACAACTACACTTGCTTGTGAATTGGGAGTTAGAAGGAGAAGAGGTGGGTCAGAGACCAAGATGGCTTCCTGGTTTGACCTGTTGGTTGAGTGATTTTATAATGTTCAATACCCTGTGGACAAATATGTACGTGGGATTCAGCAGCATTTATTTGGGATTTAAAAGCAGGGGAATGAATGAAATCAGGTAGGGAGGTGAAGAGAAGAGCTGAAGAAGGAGGAGTAGTCCTGGGACCTGGGGAATGCCAACATCTAGAAGACAGACAACAGCAAAGGAGTTGGAGAAGGAACAGAACTGAGATGTGTACAGAATAGACTAGAAATGTGCATGGGCACACAATTATCACAGGCTGAGCAAGGGCTATTTAAGCCTGTCATTGTGGCGGGGGAGTTAAAAATGATGTTCAGCTCTAGGAAGTGAAGCAGGTCAAATAAAGTTGGTCTGAGTCTCTTCCCACCAGAAATACCCAAGGTATTCTACATCTCCAGGATCCTGGGACATAGGTGACTTCAAAAAATAAATCTAAAAAGGATTGAACATTTAGATGGAGGAGCAAATAAAAGTGCAAGAACCCACAATAAAATAAAAGTAATTCATGAGCATAGTGAACATAAACTATTAAAGTGAAATTAAATTAGCAATTTATCCAGCTAAGTAAAAAACAAATATTTAGCACCAATACATGGAAGATATTTCTGTAGGTAGTGGGAAGTACACACACACACACACACACACAGAGGGAAATAAGGACAACCAGATGTAGTTATATAGTTGCCCCAAGAAACCCAAAATTCTGGTGATATCTATATTATCTATTATTTATTATGCAGTGTTTTAGTTTTTACGTGCAAAATGGCTTTAAAGTAGTCTGTTATAGTGGCTCCTGGGTGACTCAGTTGGGTAAGCATCTGACTCTCAATTGCAGCTTAGATCTCATGGTTCGTGAGTTCCAGCCCCACATCAGGCTCTCCTCCTCCTCCTCCTCTGTCTCTGCTCCTGCCCCACTTTTTCCCTTTCTCTCAAAATAAATAAACAAATCAACAACAACAACAACAAAAAAGGTACTCTCTTATAAGATCATTCATGTGCTAAATTTCCACATATTTCCCCCCCATGTGATCTTGAAATCCTCAGCAACATATTTCTCTATGACAAGGAGAATCGGGTCAAATTCTCACATTTTGATAAGAATACTGTATTACTTCGTATCTCTACCTCCCACTGTTCATTTTATCTATTATTTTTTAAGTTTCTTATTTTATTTATTTTTGAGGTGGGGGAGGGACATGGAGAGAGAGAATCTCCAGCAAGTTCCACACTGTAAGCATGAAGCCCAGTGTAGGGCTTGAACCCACCAACTGTGAGATCACAACCTAACCCGAAATCAAGAGTCAGATGCTTGACTGAGTGAGCCACCCAGGCCCCCCAATTTTATCTACTTTTGACATATTGATTAGCTTTTATATGTTTTGGCAATTGGCCTCTGCTATTCATATTAAAAAAATAAACGACATTGAAGAATAAAACACTTGTAAGGCAGATTGAGGGAGGCACCCCAGGAGTGGATTTAGAGTGACACAGGGCAGCAATGAGGGGATACTGAGTCAGGGACATGGCAGAATAGATGCTGCAACTGCTTGAGTGGCAGAAGATTGCCCTTGCCACTTCGCCCTCTCCTTCCCCTCTTGTTTCCCCCCTTTGTTAGCTGGGAGATAGTGTTTTCCTACCAAAAGAAAGGCTTCTTGACATACCAGATTCCCTTCCTTTGCTGCTCTATCATGTTACTTCAGAGTCTGAGGTGGGCAAGTCACAAAGCCTGCTCCTTAAACTGTGGGGGAAATGCTCCTGACGGAAGAGAGATCCAGCTTCTTCGTCCACTTTCTGGACTTAGCTTCATATGCTGATTCTTTTAGTCAGCGTTCACGGGACACGGACAAATTGGGATGTGTGCAAAGGGTCTGGAAACCATCCCAGTTTGTCAAGGTCCCTCTAGATACCCAGCAGCTAGCGCTGAGTATAATTCCTCAGAGTTACAATAAAATTATTTCCATATGAATTACTAAAAAGTCTTTTTACAAGATTACAAGTGTAAAAGTTTTTTTTAATTAATTAATTAATTAATTAATTAGAGAGAGAGACAGAGCATGAGCAGTGGAGGGGTAGAGCGAGAGGGAGACACAGAATCCGAAGGAGGCCCCAGGCTCTGAGCTGTCAGCACAGAGCCCAACATGGGGCTGGAACTAGTGAACCACGAGATCATGACCTGAGCTGAAGTTGGATGCTCAACCAACTGGGCCACCCAGGCACCCTGAGTTTAAAAATTTTTTTATATATCACAATATTATCTATCTATCTATCTATCTATCTATCTATCTATCTATCTATCTATCCATCTATATCTATCTATCTTTCTTTCTGTCTGTCTATCTAGGGAGTTGGCCTTTAAAATCTTAAAGGGTGCAGAGGACATTCTATGACCCTATTTCCACACAGGGGGCATACCAACAGGGGTGATATGTCACAGAATTAAGCTAAGGGCTTAACTGTGTGTATTTCATTTGAGGGGCCTGTCCTCCCTGAGATATGCTTTAAGGGATCCTGATCAAAACAAATTTCACTCATCTTGGTGCTGCTCCTTGTTACTGCTGAAGTTCCCGTACAGTCTCCAGCTGCCCATTTGGGATTTTGAATTCCAACGAGCCCGTGGAAGGTTACTCCCTAATCACCCTAGATTGTAGCCCTGTGACACCTCAGGACTTCCACGACAGGACATTTTCCTGGTGCTAATTTACCATAAAAAAACAGTGAAGAGACATAAAAAGTGGACTTTTTTTTTTTTTTTTTTTTTTTTTTTTTTTTTTTTTTTTTTTTTTGATGATGATAAAAGCAAGACATTATTCTCCGGATGCCAGAAGGTAGAAATAACTTTTTCAAGAAATCTGGCCATGAACAGGAGGAAGGAGTGTGTCGCAGGCAGGTGGGGTCTGCCTAAACACAGATGAGAGAGTTTGGGCAGCTCCTTGGACCCAGAAGCAGCAGCCCGTCCTGAAGGAGAGGGCAGGATGAGGAATCCTGATGAATGCCTTTTCAAAGAACACCCAGCCCTGAAGTCAAACACCCTGCACTTCACGTTCACGGTGACGTTTAGCATTTCCATCCCATTTGCTCATGGCTTTGCTCAATGGGGGGCCTTTCCTTAA